CACCGTGCGGACAACCCAGGGCGGCCTTTCTACCTAGGAGGGAGAGCTGCTTGAGCATCAGGGGCGAGACGTCCACGCCGTTTTTCGAGCCACGTGATCCTGGGCGTGGGTGATGCCCTCTGCGTAGCACCTCAGGCTGGCGCCACGCGGCTCCTGCTCCTGGCTCTCGGGGGTAGACGCGGATGACGGGGGCACTGCGCCGCAAGGAGTCAGCCCCGGTGAGGAGAGAAGGCCCCCCCAGAGGGGCTCCACGCGCGGGAGGGACTCCGGATCCCTTCTTTGTATTTTTTTTTTTTTTAGCTCACTTTGGTGCCTGGCCTGATGAGTGCCTGCTCACCTGGCTTCACAGCCAAACCTCAAACTCCGTCGGCTCAGGATATCCTCCTGCCCTCAAGCCCTCCCGAGTAGTGGATACAGATGCACCCCCATGCCGGCCGTAATTTTTCTCCGTATATATATTTTCAGTTGGCCCAATTAGTTTCTTTCGTATTTATAGTAGAGGGCGTCTCACTCTTGCCTCAGGCTGGTTTTGGAACTCCTGACCTTGAGCATCCTCCTGCCTCGGCCTCCCAGAGAGCTAGCATCACAGGCGTGAGCCACCGCCGCCCTCCTGGCAGTTCCTTCTGGAAACCAGTTCTACAAACAATCCTGTTCAGCAGCTCAGGTCTGACAGAAAAGGCCGCAAAATGGATGACAGGCAATAAACACGCCCGGCTCCGTACCCTGTAATCCCCGCAACTCGTGGCTGTCATCCTTTCTCTAAATGGGATCAGAAAGACATCCAAACGCCTGGCGCTGCTCGGCTGCCACACGTACAGAGCCACAGCCGCCGGCACTTATTTCTGAATGAGTAAAATTTAGATCATTTCTGTCGTCGGAAGGCCGCTGGACAGGGGCTGCGTTTCGTGCCGGAAATGCTGCACTGAGCACGATGGGCGCGGGCTGGCCGGGCTCCGGCTCTGGGGAGAGTCCACTGATTTCTCGGTGGGTCTTTCTTATTTCTCCACCTGCCCCCCCTGGGACGTGGGCGAAAGGCTGCAAACGTCCTCGGCCAGGGCCCTGGCGGTCACGGTCACGCTTGGGGCGGGGTGGGGCCCGGCCCATTCCACAGGTGGGCGTGGGCGGGCGAGGCTCCGGAACCTTCCGTGGAGCCCTGCCCTTTCCCGCGCAGGCCGGCGGCGGGGAGGGACAGGCTGGGCGATCGTCCCTCCCACCCCCTGCTCTGCGCCCAGCAGAAAGCATCCTTTTCAGTAGAACGGAGGGCTCTTCCCCTCATCCCCACATTGTACTCTGTGTACTTTCGAAAAGGGTCTGGGAGAGCCCGTGCCAGCATACCTGGATGTTGGCCTGAGGGAAACACCGCACACCTTTGGGAGTGGGGGAGGAGGGCTCCTCCCAGATGGGACAATCACATTTTCCTAGAGTTAGCTGGAAGCTCGTGTTGTTCAATAAAAGAAAGCATCCCAGGGCGGGCGCGGTGGCTCACGCCTGTGATCCTAGCACTCTGGGAGGCCAAGGCAGGCAGATCGCTCGAGGTCAGGAGGTCGAGACCAGCCTGAGCAAGACCCTGTCTCTACTACAAATAGAAAAAAATTAATTGACCAACTAAAAAATATATATAGAAAATATTAGCCGGGCGTGGTGGCGCATGCCTATAGTCCCAGCTACTCGGGAGGCTGAGGCAGGAGGATTGCTTGAGCCCAGGAGATTGAGGTTGCTGTGAGCTAGGCTGACGCCACGGCACTCACTCTAGCCTGGGCAACA